ATTATTTGAATCAGTGAACTGATGCCAAAAGATTTGGAGTCCTTTATTTGCTGTTGAGAAGAAAACTTCCCTTTTGTCTTTCTTTCTTCCTCTTCTAAGGCAAAAAGCTCTTTAGTATTTCTCTCATCCCACAGAGAACGATGAGGGAATAGCTGTATTTTACAAATAAACAGAGACAGAACACTGCATTAGAAAGACTTCAGTCTGATTGTTCTTAGGTACAGTGTTCAGAATGTTGAAATACCATATGGAGACATCATATTTTAAATCAGTCACAACTTGGAAAATATTAATACAGTTTTCAGTCAAAACATCTAAAATAGATGAAGCTAAAACAAAATGAGGTTTCTAATCATGTAGATAATAATCTTTCCTTTTTTGCACTCATCTTCCATGAGCTCCCAGTACTGTGTCTACTTCTAACATCATGTATCTGGATGCATAATTAATGAGCTTAGTATAATACCATGTTTGTTTATTCATGTCTTCTTCAGAATTATTAGATGAAATATCCTGAAAGTTAGTGTTGGAAAGAGAAAATATGGAGCTAAGTTTTTAATGAGTAATTTGTTGTAAAGTTGATGCTTTTGCAGACATGGTTCATCAGTTAAATAACATGACTACAGACAACAAAATGATCCTGGTGGGGTATTCTGTGCCCTCTGAAACAGAACTAGTTCCATTTGCACAAAGTTCTTGCAAGTTTGTAGAGCTTCTGCCTTGTACTTGCAAGGATCTGCTTCTCAGCTGCACCGTGGCAGTCTGGGACAGCGGAATCTCCCCAGGCATTGCTGCACTGGGAGTAGTCAACACATGCAGCTTAAGCTGAGGGGGGGAAACTGCTCCTGCCTTCGGTAGGGCTTGGAGCCAGACAGACTTCTTAGTTATTTGCAGTACACAGAGGTGACACCTACATGAACTGGAGTTTGCATGGATTATCAGAGCACAGCTCTGCTTGTGCTTTCAAATTTTCATTAGTTTTTGTTGCATAAGGTCTTAAGCATTTTGCAAGATGTGGCAGGAAGGATGCAGAAATCTGTGGCCATGTTTCCTGAAATAAGTCTCTCCCACTGTAGTGCACTGAGGTCTCAAAAGGAAAGTCCAAGAATTGATAATGGCTGGGAATAATTCAGTTACACAAGACTGAGCAAATGCTGAGAAAGTTGTAATTCCAAGCATGGTCTGATGCAAAAGGTTGATGTACTATAGGCACTTCTCAACATAATTAGCAAACAACAGTGGCTAAATTCTTTCCTGTGAGTCTTCCTAATCTGAAGGAAAGAATGGAAAGAAAAAACTTGCATATGCAAAGCTCAGAGATGTATATTATTCCAATACAGTGGAGCTCAAAATACAACTTTAAGTGTTTAAAGAAAGATAGCCCTTTAAAGAGTCTTTCATTTGGAGATCTCACAAACTAGAGAAATGGAAGTAAAGAAGTCTCTGCTTGCACTAAGAGCTGATTTCATGAGGACAGTGATATTTGGGTCAGTTTTAGCTGATGGTGAGGCATCTCAACATTTTGTTAAAACAATTTAATGGAACCAAATTAAGTAGTTTATCTGCAAATACTGAGGTGAAGTATTTGTATTTTGAATGTGAGACTGCAGGAGGCAGACTGGTATTTTGCCAGAAAATGTAATTTTGGGGAATTCTGTGGAAATTACAAGAGATTATAAACAGAACCTGACTAGCAAAAAGTATGAAATTCAATGTCTTTGTCAACTGAAATATACTTATTTAAGAAATACTATAGATGTCAACAACTGAACAGTACAGGGAGTGTAAGAGTAACTCCTGTTTATCCTTTAATCTTCCTTAATTTCCTTCTGATCAATCTAAGTATCAAGATGACTGATTCTAACTGCACCCAGCAAAAAAGTGATTTGTTTCTTTTTACCCTTTAAATTTTAAGCCTGGTGTGGATTTCTAGAATGGAGTGTCTTTATGGAAATTAGCTATGCCAATGGACATAGAATTTTTGAAGGATGGAAGTCAAAGAAGTTAGATTTCAATGCAGTGCCTTATCCAAATATTCCCCACAGGTAGCTACATATTCAGCTGACTGCTGCTAAATTAATAGCTCTCCTGGAAACACTGTCCTTATACTTCAAAATATCAGAAATGCTTTCTGTTTTAATTCCTTATACATGAGGAAAGACAGAATGGGATTCCAATAGGAATAGGACAAGAAAATGGGATGCACATGTGTGAGAAGTTTAACATATGTGTAAGTGTTCAAAGTACTGCAGCCTGTACTAATAAAAATTACAGATTTTTAAATTTTCAATTACTTTTTCACTCTGAATGGTTGTTGAATGGCTTTCTAATCTTGTTTGGAAGTATATTTTCTTTTAGAGTTTATACAGTGTTTCAGACTGCACAAAATACACAGTTCTTAGTTGTAGAGCAGGGAACAAGACATTATGCTGGAAAACTACTGTCTGCCTGAGTTTTCTCCCAGTTTCTCTTAGCTATTACAGACAGCTCAAAACACCTTCCTTTTTTGCACTTATGCCTATCTTGCATGTGTATTTTGTATCCTATACATCATATTATATTAAAACAGTATGGCAGTTAAAAGTGATTGTGGCAATGTATCGAAGTTATTTCAGGAGTAACCTGGTTTTCAATTTTCTGTTAATAGGCAGTATTTTTATAATAAGTTGTTGTTTTGGTTTTGGTTTTTCGGTGGTTTATTTTGTTTTATTTTTCTGGGGATTTTTTGTTTGTTTGTTTTTTGCAGTTTGTTTTGTTTTTTGTTTTGTTTTTTTCTGGCAGTCGTTATTCATCAAAAATTGTGATGAATTGCAAAAGATTTTTGTGTGTCTCCAAAAGGGTAGCTCAGTGCTTTTTTATTGGCTCTAGGCCTAAACTTCAGCAAGTCTGTGATCAAGTATACTAGAAAAATCCTTTGTCCATTGCTAAAGCTTATGAAATTATGGATCAAAAGAGCTTTCCTATCTTAAAAGGACTGTGGTACCATTCATGGGCTGAAAATGACTGTCAAAGTAATAAAACAACTACTGTTGTCAGAGAAAGATTAAAAGCAGCAGCTGGATTGTACACAGTCAACTTGAAAATCTTTCTCCGGGAAGGTAGATTCTTTAGAAAATTATCTGGCTTTTCAGTTGATATGCCATGATTGGCAGCCCCATAAAATGGCTACCGACACAGGAACTTACAAAAGAAAGAACTCCTTTTTTCCCCTATAAAGAGTGTATTCTGCTTCTTGCCATCTCCCAAAGTGAGATGTAATGCAAGTGTCACAGCGATGATGGCTTCCAGCCTTTGTTTTATCCAATTTACCTATACTAGGTTTTTTTCTGAAATCATTCCTGCTGTCAGTTTTCTGCAGCTTGTGTTTTAACTTATGCTCATTTTACTGTTTTCATTTTGTTCCTTGAGTTCATCTGTACATTTTGCAATTCTCCTTAAATTCAGTATATTGCCACATCTATTTTCATGTTATTTTTCCAAGATCATAATCCACTGGAACAATACTAAATACATTTAATCTCCATTCAGATTCTACCATTATTCCTGGTATAGAGGAGTGAATATTTTTAATTATCTCCATACTTCTAGCCATCCTGCTCCTCAAATCAACATGTGTGCAATCTTTGAAACTTTATTTATGCAAGGTCAGCATTAATGATTTCATTAATTACTTCCTTTCTTCCCATTTAATTATCTTTCTTATTTCTAGCCATCCAGACTTTCTTGTTCTTTTGAATGAAGGAAATCATCTTTGTATCACAAGATTTGGCTATCTGCCTTCCACTTGGTAATTTTTCCCAGATTGTAGTTGTCTTTGGGGTTTTCCTTCCTGCTACGTTTTTGATTTATACCTATTTCTTAATGTCTTCCCTCAGATATTTCTCACTACATAACATTAACTTGGAGAGTAGTTTATCTTTCTTACATCCTGACAACACCATTGAAAATGAACCCCAATGGTTTTCCAACCTTTTCCCCTCTGCTTTCTGATTCCAGTGCTCCTCACGTAGTAATTTTGGTCTTCATGTTCCCCTGTGAGCATTGCTGGACCTCTCCTCACATCTGCTTGGCCAGATTTTCAAATATAAGACCTGTTTGTGTTGTTTTCCCTCAGGATTATGTGCAATGGACATAGGAAATAGACAGCTTTTTTTCACCATATCCCATTTTCCTTGCACTGGTCTTAAAACCATTTATGTGTTTGCTTTTGTAGATCTAAGAATGCTTTTGTGTTGCATAATTGGTTACATCTCCAAGTCACTGGTGGTGGCCATGTCAGACCTGCAGCATGCTCGGAGCAAGTACAAGATCCTCTTGCCCATTCACATGCTGGCCTCAGCATACACTGCCCCAGCTTCATGTAAGGTCAGCAGTGTTCTTCTAATCTGTGATGAGGATGGAAAACTTCAGCTGAGAGCCAAAACCTATTGTTCCTTCTGATCTTTTTTCAGTGCCCTGCCCGAGAAACACAAGCTTCCACGGTAGGTGACAGATTCAAAAGGAATGGTGTTCAGGAGAGCTGCTGAGCAGGAGAGGTGCTGGAGGCAGCCTCTGGCACAATGGCAGGCACTGATCCACCCCCTCATCAGTTATCCTGCTTAAAACTCCTTTACCCAAATATAGAAACACACTCTCTGAGTGCCTTTAGATTGTCTTGGGGCTCAACCTCTAACAGCAGCACCAAGCCTCAGCCTTGCTGACTGTGGACCTTGAAAAAGAAAAGAACAGTATCTGATATTTTTTCAAATCTTTCTGAAGAAGAAATAAGATAAAAGCAAAACTCTTTGTGACTGATTTTTATTTTTTTTTCCCACTATCTACTTGAAAGGCAGTGGGTCAGAATTAATGCATTTTTGCTGCAGAGGAAACGTGTGGGATGCTGGCTACAAGCCAGTAGCCACTAACATCCCTGCTGCACCAGGAATACTTGAATGAAGTGGGCGTCAACCTTGGGAGAGCAGGCATTTGGTAACAGACTACCTACATCAGAGGGAAACCTCTTCATTTGGATTCAAGGAGTAAAAATATTTAATGGAGATAAACTGGTTTGGTAGCTTCTTCCGAGGGACAGTGAAAATGGAAGAATTACCATCCAGTCTGGAAGATCATCCTCTAAGCTTCTGTGTTTGTCAGGTACCATTCACCCTGCAGAGAAGAGATCCATACAGTTGCTGACTTTTCTGACAGTATTAAAGTTTCGTCTTACAGTTCTGCTTCCTCAACACTAAGAATGATGAAATAACATCCAGAGCTTTCAGCCAGTCTGTGCTGTCGACAGTCTTCTAGGGTTTTTTTTCCAAAACCAGATAAAAATCTGTGGTGTGTTAAATGCCTCTCTAAAATAGAATTTATTCAGACACTCATTCTTCTTGTGTCCAGCTAGATATCCACTGGGAAAAATAAAAGTAATTTCTAGAGTTTATTTGTATCACTAAATTATGAATCTGAATGATCAAATAGAATACTCCCAGTGTTATCATTGTTATTTGTCCTAGTTAAACTATCTTGCTGAGTCAGTCACCAGTGCTATCCAGTCAAAATATGAGCACATATGCTTTGAATCAAGTCCATCATCTCAATATGACATCTATGAAACAGTTTCTCTTTCCACCTCGAGTAATGTGGTGGGTAAGCAACAGACTTTTTTTTTTATGTCCAAAACTGCAAATCTTCTCAGTATGTGTAATGGAAAGATTTCCATCTTACTTGTGACATCACTGAATTATTAGAAAGCAATACATCCATTTTTTTCAAACAGGGAAATGACAATGGAAAAAGTGAAGAAAGCATTTTGGCTAAATTTTGGCACAAAAGTGGACATAAAAAGACTGAATGGCTAGAATAGACCATCCCAAATATTTTAAAAGGCTATTCTTCTTGTAGAGAAAATAGAGATCCTGGATAAGTGACAAAACTACATCTGTTTAAATCTAAATGTTTACGTAATAACAATTTAGATTTTGGATGCAGTTGTGCGTGTTGGCTCAAACATGTCTGGTCTAATAACACTGACGTTACAGAAAGCTAGGGGATCTATGACAGCTAGGTGACATGGAAGAAAAATAAGTGAATTTGAGCAGGATTTGGGAAAACTAGATCCATAAATTGGAGGAGGTCTACCAAAGCAAGTAGTTTTACTATGGGTAATAGCTTTGTGTTAACAATCTGTTTCAAATTCTGGTCTTGGAAATTACCTGTACAAGGTATTTGTGGGCAGTTGATTTGCAATGTCCTACCCCCTGGGCAGAAAACCTGGGGCAGGGGAAAACAGTTTTAATGCCTCAGGACTGCATAGTTCCTGGCAAACTGGATATCACCAACCAATCAACAGAACAGGTCTGGGTGGGTAAATGGCTAGGAGTCAAGCCTGGAAGATTAGGGAGAGAAATGTACTTGCTATAGCAAAACTAATTGTTGGACTTAAAATTGTGGAGGAATTGTGACTGTGCCAGTTTTCTGACAGGCATCCTCCCTGGAGATCTGTTCCCTAAGATAAGATAAAACCGTCTAGTCCTGGTGACTGCGCTGTGGCTGTGGACCCCTTCCTGCCTCAGGACACATGTTATCTCCCTGTTAACTATTGGTCATCTTATCCCCATCTCAGACCATTGGTCCCCTTCCCAATTCTCCCCTTCCCCATAAAAACCCCAGCTTTTGCCCAGATCAGTGGTTAGATCATCACTGGCCCCCTTCACAGAAGGCTGCATTAAAGACTTTCTGTGGAACGCCATGTGATCTTCCCGTCTCTTGTCAGCGTCGGCTGGGGTAACTCCTGAAGGGACCTGGCTGGGCTGAACTGAGCTGATCACAGAGCAGAAATCACCTTCTAAAAGAGCTGGACGCTTGAAGCCTTTGCCTGTGCTCCTAAGGGTTACCCCTGGGCTGGAGACTGCCTGGAAACCCCAGACGGCGGTTCTCCTCCGGAACGTCGATCTAGGCTTGTTGCTGGCAGAAGCTGGGGGTCGGACAGGCCCCCAGGACACAGCCACGACAAAGTGGCACCCGAACAGCTCCTGGACTCTTCAGCTGAAGCCCAGGAAATCAGAGCATCATCCCGCAGAGCAGCCTCGGGACTGAAAGCGCTGTTTGGATTGTCACCCTGCTGAAGATACCCTCTGTGTTCTAACAGAGAGTATCTGACGAGGCAGTTCCAACACCCTCGCATTCACCACCTGGGAGAAGAAACCCCGAGGACTGGAATAAAAAGCCGACCACCCAGCCAGCAGTTTTATTTTGACCTGACCAGCTGAGTGTTGTGAGTTAACCCAGCTTTTTCTGCATGCTACTTTATTTCCGTTGGATCTTTTGGGTTTTTTGGTTTTTTGTTTTTTTTTCTTTTTTCTGCTGGGCTGAGACCTGGACTACCCAATATGGGGTTAAAACTACAAAAGTTTCAGCGATCCCACACGGAGAAAGACCTATATTCCCAAATTCTACAATTCCTATCTGCTAACAATTTCTCTTTCTCTAAAGGAAATCTCTCTAAGACTAACCTAAAAGCATTTGTTTATTGACTCTCTCAGCATTTTCCAAACTTTAACGGGGACACTATCTATCTCAACTCTTTCTGGGATAGTGTTGGGACCAAAATCTATGCCTGACAAGCTGACGGAGATTTTTCTGTTACACGTTTTATACCCCCGTTTCACATTGTTATAAATGCAACGGCAAAATAGGGTTAATATAAACAGCGATTTATTATAACACAATTTAATCATAAACGGGAGAAAAAAACCACAATAAAATAGATCAGCGCAGCGCTGGGTGGACCGTCCAGGGTTTTTATAGGGATTTTGTGTCCTGGGGCTAAACTCCGAGCAGTCACTGTTCCACAAGGAGTCTAGATGGTTGGTTGAATGGATTTCCTGGAACCGTCGACCTTAACCAATAGACAACTGGGCAGAGTCTTTTCTCATGTGAAAAGTTCTGATTGCCTCCTGATTGTATCTTTGGTTGGGCTCTCAGGGAGAAGTGTCCAGGTCCCGTGTGGAGCCGTTGGGCATCTCGGCTGGGCTCTCCTCATTGTCTAGCCTGATGGCCCTTGTTCTGCTCTTCCTCTCAGGCTGATAAGCGTCACCTAGAGTCGTTATCACCTGAATAAGTAGTTACTGCTGGGTTTGGACACTTTAGTGCACACTATATTTTTATGTGTTTTATACTGTTATAAATACAGTTATATACTTATTCCCTCCCTCATGAATTTTTCCAAAGTTACATTTACCATAACATTGTAACTAAAACTGTAGAAAAAACCTCTCTTTCCAACCCCCATCGCTCTGATGTAGACTTGCTCCTCCCATATACAATTGCAAATGACCCTGACTCTGACTCGGACCTAAAGCTTGCGAAACCGGCTTTTCCACGTCGATCCCCTTCCACTGTCTGTCTCCCTGCTCCCTCCGGGGTCAGTGTCAGCCTCCCCTCCCCTCCAGGCACACTCCTCAGTGCCAGCCCCCACCCCGCTTCCCGGAGCAGAGAGCAGGGGATCCGCCCCGCTCCCTCTGGGAGCCGCCCCCTCCTCCCCCGCCTCGCTTCCTGGGGCAGGGAGTGTAGGACCCGCTTCACACCCACCCAAACCCCTTCCCCTGGCACTACCCACCATATGCAACTCTGACCCTTACGACCCCCGCTGTGTACCCTGCTTTCCAACACCCCACCGCAGCCTGTCCCTATCCCTACTCCGCGCTGCCGTGTACTCCGAGCCCCTCCATTCCCCCGTGTCTCCCGGAGCACCCCCCACAACAGGCCGCTGCCCTGCCACTCCTGGCTGCGCCACAGTG